GTTTTCTGTTATTGTTTTTCCTTGACGACCCGCGGTCCCTGACGAGAGACTGAAAACTGCAATGGTATGAAAATTTCCCACGTTTCGTCTATACATGTACTTTGATTAAATGATTTGTAAGTATTTTTTAAGACGATGAAAGATTTCATCGTTCTTTTTTCTCTTCCTTACTATTTTAATCGCTATTTATTGTTTTATCGATTACAGAAATTACCTTGAAACTTGCATTTTCGTTTACTAATAAAACGAATTGCAGAGAAAAGATGTAAACTCTGCAACAGCATTGCGTGTCGTTCTTCTTTTAAAGATATCTGCTGCCTCTTCAAAACTTTAGTAGGAGTACACATTGTGACTTCGAAAAACGATCCAGGAAACGGGAAACGGTAATTATACCTCTTCTTACCTGTTCAAGGCGGATTGATAGCCATTCCGCTTGTTTCAGTTTTTTTTACCGGGCCAAAAGACGAAGGTGACCTAGTTCTTAGCCGAGCAGCCATATTCTCTCCTCCTGTTAACATACATTCCATGACAATTTGTCCCTTGCGTGGTGCAGAACTTGGTTTGGGGTGGACGGGAGGCTTTAGTTGGAGGCGCCGAGTTCCTTCTGATGTATCAAACCATGTTCTCTAATATCGCCATAAAATGCATTGATTGGCTTTGGACTTCTGTAAGAAGTAGTCATTCATTTCTTAAATTTATCGTCTTCGAAGGAAAGATTAATGAGATAAGCACAGCATGGGTTTGTTTACTTTCTTTTTCTAGTCAAATCTAGATGTCAGTCTTTTTGCAATGGGTTTGAACATTCTGGCCTGAACAGACAACAGGCTTCTGTTAAATTTGTCATTAAGCGTCAGCTACGCTCTATAATATATCGCTATTAATGCATTGATGGCTTTGGACCTGACCATATTTGAGGGAGATCGATCACTGTTTACTCGGTTACCTTCTTAAATAACTAACTAGTTGAGTTGATTTTTCAAAAATTCAAGTCGTTGAAGTGAGGTTTACCGACCCGCACTCGAGTCAGCTGTATCAGCTGTGCAATGCTTAATCGAAGCGTTTCTGGAGTTCGGAGATAGGCAATTTTATTTCCAGACGTGAACTTTTTTGGACCTTTGCCGGCAAAAGATGAATGTCAATATGAGATGTGCTGCCTGGGTCGTGGTCTTACTGTCAGCACGAGTAACTAACGAGGCACAGTAGCCTCTAGGGAAGAAGTAGTATAAATATAAAGCTTTTGAACATTGGCTGGTTCCGCGAAAGTTGTGGTTTTCCAGGTTTGATCCTTATCAAACTTCTTTTAAAGAAACAAACATTGAAACACTGTACTTTTCTCCGTTGCATATCTGCAGTGATGGGCTATGCCCTTTGCAGATCTTTCACTCCTTTTGTCCTAAAATGAGCTTTATCCATCGAATTACCATGAAACAATCAATTATCACGATACATTAAATTATGATCGGCGTTAGATAATTGTTTGCTCTTTTTTCGTGTGTGTAACACTCGACCTCAGTTCCTGTAGCCACGTGTTTCGCAGTCCAATGTTTTATTTTTTCGTTTTATTTTAGAAGACCTCATTTTGAATTAATAAGCCAAATGTAAGCGGAATGTTACTAGTTCAGAGACCTGTTTCGCGTGTGTGGAATAACGGCGTTATTCCACACATGAGAAACAGGTCACTGAACTAGTAACATTCCGCTTACATTTGGTTAACCGTTCGGTCGAATAAACAAAGATCTCTTACGTAAAGTATTTTAACGAAATGGGTATAAAAGAAAACCCGAGATATGCTTTGTAAACAATCACAATCAGGAGGTGTTGACTATCTTGCCGAGTCATATCGTTAATTGTGGAAGCATAGTTAGTAGAGGGGACTGGTTAGGAAACGCGGCAAACTTCAAAGGGCCGGCCTATTGTCTGTCCCCTGAGCTTCGCTTGAACGTCACGTGATCAATGACCCTGCACAGAACCAAAACAAACATGGAGGACATGAACAACTTATTTTTCTTCGGCGACGATTTTGATGCCATATTGGAAACTTTGGAGAACGAGGAAGAATACAAGAGCACTTTGTCGAAGCAGCTGACTCTGTAAGTCTTTTAGAAGCCTTTAGAACGTTATTTTCGCCCAAAAACTTTGTAGTTATTGATGCCCTTAGCAACGGCATCGGTCGTAGTACAACAACATATTTTTTTACTGAAAGTCTTTCGATTTTTAGGTTCAAGACGAAGAGGGAATTGTTTGCTAGTTGTGTCAAAATAAATGCAAGACTAAGGCTGGATTAAAAAGACATAAGACAATAAAGCATAAGGAGGAACAAGCGCGGGGAAATCAACCGACTCAAGAAGCCAAATTCACTGCTGAAGACTTCGAAGCGTTATCAATCAAAGCACGAGATAAAATAATTGCAAGAAAAATCTACCCTCAAAGCATAAAAGAAGAGCTACGAAGATATANCTCAGACATAGTGGTAGATAACAGCATTGCAAAAGATGTTCTGGACAGCATTATTCATTTATATGTTACTGTACGGTGTTTTTCACTGGCCAAAGATGTTATACAGAAACACAAAATTCAATGTAAACAAATGAAAACAAAAACACTACGAAAGGAAATTTGTAGAGCCAGCAAAGAACAAGAAAGGCAGATATAGTTAGAATTAAGAGCCTGCAACAATTTGTCAATAAGTAATTTATTACAAAAGATTAATTTGGTAGCTACAACCTGCAACATATTAAATAAACATATTAAATATTGCTCATTAATGATTATTTTATGGACAAAAATGAGTATAAAGGCTATATGGTTAAAGTATCTAACATAGAGTAACTTATTTATTTTCAGCCAGTCTTCTCGCCACTTCTTGTATTCCGCGTTTCGCGGCGCCGGTAGCTTCCAGATTCCAATTCCTTTACTTCTCCTACACGTTCCACAGCCAAACACTGAACAATTTTCACCTGGCATTATGTCCACTGACTTGATTAATGTTTTTAGCTATATTCTGAAGGTAAGATGTCGCTCGATCACGGAGAAAATCCAAAAACTTAAACGCTACGTGACTGTCGAAACAAGCCCGCGGTGCCATTTTGGATTTATGTGTGCAGGGTCATTGTCACGTGACCTCGATAAAATCGAACAATAACCTATCCGACTGAAGTTTGCCGCGTTTCCTAACCAGTCCCCTCTACTAACTATGGTGGAAGCGATGCAACAATTTTAAGACTGCCATCCCCCTTTTGTGATACAGCAATATGGACGGTAAGATGATATTATGTTAAATGAGCTATAGATTGGACGTCAAATGCGAAACGATTGAGTTTGCGTGTGAATGTGTCCATTTCCGACTAATTGACGGCACCGTCAAATGAGCTCATTTTAATTTATCCAACTTTAAAATTTGATTAAATCGCACTGACTCACTTCCCCAAAAAATCCTTTGGATCGAAAAGAACCACGCTTCGCCTTCCAAAAGCCAGATTTTCAGTAGAATATTTTATTCAGCACACAGTTAAATAACGGGGTTAGTTTTGACCTATCTTTAATCTTGTCAGAAGAAGGTCTGATAAATTCAATTAGATTGTGAAAATAAACGATCAAGAAATTGCTTAAATTGCTGTCAACAAGTGTATTGATGTTATCTTTCAAAATCTGGTAATTTTTATCGGTGCAAGTGTTTTAGATTCTTGTCGCGACGCTCCGAGATTCGTCTGTTGAGCTTCAGCCAAACGAAGTGTGCAGTGCTTTGTTTCACCATAAGGCCTACCTAACTTGAGAATATGAGCTGAATCGTTTTTTCGGCTGTTGCCACCAAATGCTTGACCATTGGTAACAATGATTCGCTGTTAAGGCAACAACGTTGTGTTTTTTTTTCAAACACCGATGGAGGAAATTTCTTCACAAAAATATTGGAGTGGATAATTTTTTATTCGCTAGTCATTAATTTTGTATGGAATGTCAAAACTGTAGATCTACCTTAGCTCTCTTCCTTTGTAGGATATTTTCTTTGCTAATTAAGTATATTTGAGCATGCTTATTTTAAAAATTTTTCTTAGTCATTGATTTTTTTGGACTTTACCGGCTTTCTCATCTCTCCTCTGATTTGTCTTACATTCCGTTCTTTTCGTCGAACATTTTTCAATAAAAGTGCTGAACTTCTTATTTTGCAGGTACTTAGATCTGATATGCATCGTATGGTTGGTCGACAGACTTCAATTTTTACCGCGCTGTTTCTCATTTCTCAAATGTTCTGCGACATTGCCAGTCAGCAGTGTGGAGCCCGTGGCGACCTATACTCGATTTATCAAATGATGCTTCAGGGCCACACCTATGAGACGTTCAAGTTTACACCAGGTACGCTGGAATGCAGAGAGGCTTGTCTCGCTGATGACAGATGTCAAAGCTATAATGTCGTCATGTTCATTGCAATATGTGAGTTAAACAACC